TTATTATAAAATATTTTCTAATATATACATTTTGTTCCTTTAGAATACAAAATGATTGGAAAAATAACATTTTTAAATTAAATAAATTCATAATAAAAAATATTTTTTGACATGGAAACGAGTGAAATAGTGAAATGTAAAAAAAATTAAAAATGTAAAAAAATTAATTTAACTTATATCTTAAATTGAAAAACAAATTCATTAATTAAAAATGAATTTAGTAAGTTAATTGTTAAGTAATGAAAATATAAACGTAACTAGTTGAATTAAAAAGTTAAAATAAAATTAACTTTTTAACTCGTTAATGCCCAGAATTGGTTATTATATATTTAATTATACATGACTTCTGATCTTCTCGGATTGGTTTAAAAAACTTTTAATTCACGATTAGTAAATAGTAGTGTTATACCATATTTATTGGTTTAAAATTAATTAGTATCATATTTTACTAATCTTTCTGTTGTATTGAGTCTACTTAGTTGGATTTATAATAGAAATCTTAAGTAGACATTTTATTTGTATTGATTAAACGATTTTCAGTTTAAAGTACTTTATTTTATAAGGAAACAAATATTTATTTTCCAAACCTTTGCTTTTATCGAAATACTTTCCATTGTAACAATAAGGATAAATCAATAACAAATTGGAAATCAGTTTACAGACTCAATTTTCTGTCTAAAAATAAAATGGACTGTCCTATTCATTATACTGAGTAATTAAAAAATCTTATTATGTATTTTAAGTTTGTTTTTATTTTGTTGTAATCGTCGAAAAACTACACGTCTTAAATCGAGATGATTCTATCAGTTTTGTAAAAATGTATTGAAAAAATATCATTTTAACAAAGGAAATTCATAAATACGTTCGTGGCAACAGGTCAGTGAGATTTAAAACTAGGTAATGGATTTATTCGCAAAACGGTACCAATCGCTATTTAAAGGTTTTGAAGTAGTTTTACATGAGTCAGATTTCCTTTTATCCGGTCACAGTAATTCTCTGGAGTGATTGGTCTCCTCGTAAAGCTTATTCGTTTTGAATTTTTTTCGTTTATATTTAGATACCAAACTGAAATAAAAGTATAGTAATTTTGAGTATATTTATTTTGGTTGTAAAAAGAACAAACAAGAATTTTGTCGAACTCAAAATATTATTGGTATTTGTTTGATTTTGAATAATTTCCTCTTATTATTAATTTTTCAATTACAAAAGCAATACCAATATTAATAAAAAATGAGATAAAAAAATGTAATAAAAAATATATATTTTGTTAATTTTTTTATTTTTGTTAAATCATTAATATTAGATATTAGTAAATGGCTTATTTTATTAAATTAATTATTCAATTTTAATACAAAAATGTGACGTTTATATTGAATTTTTTTTTATTTTACTGATAATATTTTACTTTTGAGTTGAAACTAAACAAAACATGGGAAATCAAAGTAAATCATTTTTTTTTTTTTTTGTTTTACTCGAAGTATTGAAAAGTTTACGTGTTTCATTATCCTTGCTATAAATACGGTAAATTCACGTTTTGATAAACCAAAAAAAATATTTTACTTAAATCATCAAACTGAATCGTATAAATTAACTATATTTATTACTAATGGTGTTAATTTTTTTTTTTTTTTTTTTTTATTATAATACTTTCTCACCTGCAATATAGCTAATTATATTTTATTTATCACACGGTTCTTATTGCGTTGCGCATAGTGATCGTTTATAAACTGTATACATTATATAATATTCTGTCAAGTCGCCAGCTAAATATATTGTTTAAAAACATGATATAATATATATAGGTAAACATTTTGAAGGCATTACATCCTGAAACAATATTTAGATTCAATTACCGCGTAAATTGTTGCAAGTCATCGGGGCGTGTTGTTATTATTGCATGGACACGAGTAAGAATCGTCTTTATTTAGGGTGGGCTTCTGTGTGTAGCCCATAGAGTTTGTCTATACATCTATATAGTATATTTCACTGTAGCTCGTCAAATGCGTGTGCAATGACCGGAGTACGCTTGCGCGACATACGGCTAACGTCAACCTATGTTTATTATAATATATACGCATTCTATTGAATATAATAATAATAATAATAATAATAATAATAATAATAATAATAATAATAATAATAATATATATTAGATCGAACTGTATGCGTATAATAATATTGTAACAATGACATGACAGACCAGAAATCTGAAATAGGTCGCCAAGTGTCTTATGTGTTCGAAACGCACGATCATTTGTTCCGAAAACGGAAAAAACGATGAACATCGATAAATAAAAATAAAAAACATTACCTTTTACTCTTGCAGTACTTTCTTGTTTTTACGGTTCATGTTTCTTCGTTTTTAGTCGGGTAGCGAAAAATTGTGGACTTGATAGCATATAAACTTACTGTAACAACCTAACTGACCATCCTATTCAATTACTGTGTGTATACTATATAATGATTATTAAAATTATATTAGAATTAACGATTTGTCTTCATAGTTGTCAGTTGTTTAATTAGACCGACGTTGTACAAGAAGTACGAGGTATAAAGGGGATATACATTTTAACATACAGGTAAACGTTCTTATTAATCGAGAAACTTATAAAAATCATTTAGCGCTCGATACGGCGTAGTAGGTTTTCAATCCATCCATTTCAACGCATTTTGACCGTATAAGCAGTGATTCATAAATTATTAATTACAGGGATTTATAGTTTTATCGATTAATAATATAGTATCATGTCTGCAGTTTAATGGTAAATTAATAATAAACGTTATACCTCTTATATTATAAAATGCGTCATATCAATTGATTAAATCTTACCATATTCAAATTGGATTCAATTACAAATTGTAGATTCAAACTGAGGCACTGATCAATCTCATGTGTTCGATATAAAAGGTAAACGATTGTAACTACCCACGCATCATTGTGTTATTTTAGATAGTGCTGATAGTTGTTGTACATTATTATTATTATTATTACTATTATTATTATTTTTATTATTGTTATTATTGTTATAATTATTATTATTATTGTTATTATATTTCTTACGAATACAAATTATTATTTTCCAATTGTAATAGAAAAATAAACTGAATTGTTTTTATATATTATACTAAACATATGTCCGCACTTAACGTTTACATATCTGTAACTATTTAACCGTATTAGTTTTAAAATCGGGGAAAATGAGAAACGTATTAATTTAAGTCTTATACTGTTAAAATGTTGAAGTAAAAAATGTCGTTAAGCATTTTTAAATATGAATTTAGATAACAATAGTTATTATTTTTTGATCTTGAGTTTCTCACGAATTGTAAAATAACCAAACAGTAAAATATTATCAATTTCTTCAGACTATCTCAGAGGTTATTATTCATATTGAATTCGATATCATGTGAAACTGTGTTTTAGGAGTTTTTTGATAACCTTGTTTTTTTTTTTAACATAACTTAATACCTAATATTTAAAACGTATCTTTAATGACTTAATAAAATTATATTTTTGATAACTTAATTATTATGTATCAATGTTTTCTTCTTATACAATAATTTATAATTGCTTTCGAATGTAAAAATAAGTATTCTATTACAACTTTTATAAACTAATGGTTAGTTTTATTTTTGTATTATTCTGTTCATCATTTGAGGACAATTTAAAGTATTATAGTCAATGATGTGGATCAGTAAAACGAAACCAGTTTCGCTAATTTATTTATCGTATACTGAGAGAACACGTGTTTTCCGAAACCGCTAATGATGTGGAAGAATCACATCGTGGTATATAGTGTAACGACCTAACTGTGTGGTGTTTTAATGGCAATTATATGTATTAAAATAATGATATACTCTTGTAGTTCTTGTACTCGCACATACAAACAATATCGTATCGATACGGTCAACACAATATGTGCATCCAATTTTTATATGGTACATACCTTTATGTAAAAGTCCGGTATCCGGTTACCTTCGTACTCGAAGAGAGAAACCTGTCGTTAGATAAGTAGTTTTTAGGAGAGATTTATACCCGCAAATGACATATGGAGATGATGGGTTCAATCAGACTCGATTCTTATTGTTTTCAGTCTTATCTAACAATATGTTTTTATTTTAATCCCTTCAATTATAATATTGCGTATACTGATATTCCGATTATTAACAAGAACTTATCTTGTTCGTAAATCATAACAGTATTATTTTGATTACGTGTAGGTTTACAAATTGTTCGTGAGATATAAGTAGCTATATAGTTATCATCGGCTAGTTGAAGGAAACAACTTGTTTAATAAATGTGTTTCGCTACAACTCTATCAAAAATGTATTAAGATTATAGTATAATGATCTGTACCAAACTTCGCAGCAGAAAAAGCATATCGTATTATTTACGAAACAATGTTCGACAATGAAGAGTTTTGTAATTTAACAACGCAGTTTTATGGATTTTAATTATATTATTATTATTATTGATTTTGTATTTTGTTTATTTATAATTCATTTTATTTTCATAAATTAATACGATTTCCAAAATAAGTTAGATTATTTGCACGGTACTTTTACTTTCCTTACGATTGGCCAGCTATATAATATTGGATTTTGCCATCTTCCCTTTTATCTACCCCCCATGACACGTACAGTGAAGTGTCAATACCAATACACTGCACTCGACTTGGTTTAATGAAAGCTCTTCGCATCTTCGCCTCAAGGGAAATAGTATGAAAAGCTTCTGCAATGTTTTTTTTTCGTTTTTTTCTCCTTTGGTCACGATGACAAAAGTCTAAGTATTAATTGCCTTCAGGGCGTGTGAAAATCCCATCAGCCGCACAAAATATGATACGTGTCAAAAATGACAATAAGTTCTCAGTGTAATACTGAAAATACAACTAATTTTAAACCTTTGTGTATATTAACCCATCTGCTGCTGTTGTAATCATCTCAGTCTAGTTTTGGGTTTTCACGTGTTCATAATATAAATAATACTATTTATTTTTCAGATAACTTAAGTTTACACGGGGTCGTGATTTTTCCGCCGTCCATCTGAAGATTTCTAACAAGGTAATATTAAAACTCATAATTTTTACTTTATCACTTTTATTGAATGTGTGAAAATTAATTAAAATTCTTAATTTTACACGGTACATGTCTTATCACCCTCTAAGAGGTAGATAATATGCAAAGCGCATATTATGTTCGTCATATATGTAATAAACGTCAAGGAACGAGCCCACCACGAAATATTTCATCCAAAAAGGGGGGTAACCGGAATCTCTTTGTGCGGGATAATAATGCGGCCTGCGATAATAAAAAAAAAAAAAAACATCTGCGATTAAATTGTCAACGAGGGCAGCTGCGATTTAGAGACCATTGACGAATAAAACCAAAGCCTTTTGTTTCTCGGAGGGATCCCTTTTTTCAGTTGTGGACTCACGTGGCCGGTTACGTAGTGTAGATTTTTTATTGGAAATCTGCTCTTACATTTTCGTTCATAGTTTTTATATAATTTATATATATATGTGTGTAGGTAAATAAGCTTACCATAACAATTGTTTAAATATTATTGCTAACTAACCTCGTCTGATTTTGAGCTCAGTATAAAAATATAATTGTCTGTAGACCTTTTTTTTATTGAAACAATATAATTTATTAAAAATGTATTTAAAGAAATCTCATTGTTTATTTTTAAGTGATAATATAATAAATTAATACTTGCATTATTAAATGTAATAGCTATTATTAACATTTAGTATAATATAAAAAAAAAGTAGGTTATATTTATTAACAATTTTTTAAATTATATACTTTTGATGACTTCACATTCATATATTTTAAAAGTTTAAAAGTTTTTATATTTAATTTCCGTTATCTGAAATGTATTTATTAATAATTGTTATATAATAAATAAATATCCGTTTAGGTATCGTTTGAATAGGGTGGATTAAAATAGGAAATGACGTTTAAATTATGGAAAAATAAAAAAAAATTTAAAATGGTTTTTGTAATATTGTAAGACATGTATATAAATTATTTAAAATATTTTAGTTCAAGTAAATGTTGTTTTTTAAATTGATGATTGAATTTAGGGTAAAATGTTTTGATATATTTTTGTTAGCTACTGTTTTCTAAAATAATAAAAACTTTAGAAGTCGTATTAGTAAATTTGATTTTGTTAAGTAATATATTTGTTTATTCGACATTTTACAAATAGAAAATTCGTTTATATAATTTAGAATTAAAATATCCATATTGATTATCAATTTAATAGATTTATTATTAATTTAATACATTACATTTTAAGATGCCATTGATTTCAAAAATTAAAAAAATGTATTAATATTATTTTTGTTTTTAATGTTACTTCGAAGCTAGTAGAATTATATCTTAAGCATTATATATTCATAGAGTCTGTAGCTATATACAAAAGTATATTAAAATATGTATTTCTATAAATTATATATTTTAGTAACGAAATAATTAAATATTTTTTTATAACAAATTATAATTCACAAAAAATAATATGCATTATAGAAAACTATCCGTTTTTACATTACAATATTCTTGCATAACAGTTGATTAAAATTATCTTAGAAAGGTTTCGTAAAAAAAAAAAAAATGCATAATAAACTCTTGTTTATGTAAATTTGGTAGCATGGTTGAATAAAACATATTCTTCTGGGGTGGAGAAATATTTGCGGCTAATTATCTTATGTTGCTAAATATATTAATGTATACTTATAGGAGTTTCTATATTGTCCTCTTTATTTTTATTTTTTTTTTGTGTCCAAAGTAACAAATATATAGGATATACATTCAAACATTGTTGTACCGTGAGGGGCAAAGCACAATAAATGTAGAACTCGAAGCCGAACATGCATAGTCAAATCCATCCCATTGTTGTTGGGGCCTGTAATAATTTATGTCCGGTTGTACGTGTGAGTGTTATAGAGAAAATTTACGGCATTTAGGCCATGTTTTGGCGGTTCAAACGTTACCCTGGGGCATCACTAAGCCCGATGTACCGAAAGGTGTTGATATCGCATGGGGAAAAAACGGCTACATCACTACGGAATAATAAATTAGGAATAATCCAATGGCATTGCAAAAACGAATATATTGTAATTTAAGACTACCAGCAATTCATTTATTTAAGAATCCAGAAATTAAAAATGACTACGTAGTCCAATCGTTATTAACGTACTCGACTAAATTTATTTGATTTAAATTTAAATTACAACATGGTGTGGAGTAGCTATAGTATTTAATTGCATAATGCATTGAGTTACGTTTAATCCTTCCAGTACATATTTATAAAATATAAAAATGATAATGTTACATAAATAAGTGAAACGCATATAAATTATGATAAAATTATTAAGTCAATCATTTTTTGTTATCGTTAGAATTTTAATTTTTAGTGTTTGTTGTTACTACCATCATCGATTAAAGGTACCTCACAGGAATTTAGAAATCTATGGTTGTTTAGCAATCTTGAACATTCATACCATTATTGCATTCTACGTGATTATATCTGACACAATAGGGAAAAAAATCAATTTATCAATGTCGTTGGAAAGGATTATCCAGTATAGGCGGTTTGAGCATATTGAATCCCTTTGACTTGTATGATATCCCCTGAAGGCTATCATTTCAAACGATGTAAACTCGATATGACCCTCGGTAGATCGAAGTGATCCCTCTGTGTGGGCCAATATTCTGACCGATGGTCAGCCTGTATTTAATCTAATAAAACAGTTTCATTACTCTGATAGACATTTTGTAATGATAAACATATTAAATTATCAAAATCTCATTGCAAACTTATTATTATTCATATAATATTGTAATAATATCACTTTTACGTATATTTAATAGTATGTTTTTTGTAGTTATATCATATATTGTTAACTTTTTAAATATTATCATGATTATATTTTTGAAACATTATCATAGTGAATATTTTGAGACTAAAAAATAATGCTATATAATAATATAGTTATGTTTCCGTAACTAATTTTTAATAAATTAGTAATTTTTTTATAATCGTTAACATTATAGGAACAAATGAATAATTATTTTTAAGTTATTATAATATTATGTTATTATTTTGTTATTAGGGAGTAAATTGTAGCATTGTACCACTGATATCTAATGTAGGAGGTTATAGCCGTAATCGATAGTAATTTTCTACGAGGTCTTTTTTTTTAATTGACACAACAATGAACGTGAGGTATGTTTTTAAGAAAATTAAAAATCCTGAGATCAATGCAAATGTGAAATGTGAAAAATATATATTATTATGGTAATAAATATATCAATTACATGTATACAACAATTTGTGTGTCTGGTTGTCACAATATACTCGAATTCGAAGCACACGTTTGTGAAACTGTGATTGTATTGCACTTATTGACGATCCCATTTAGTAGTTGACCCACATGTGACTAATCATTGAAAACGATAACAATAATTCTTGAAATTATCTTTGGTTCTTTTTAAAACCCGACTTTACACATATATTATAAATTATATTATATGACGTATTCATCATGTGTAAAAAGCAATTTTTATAACACGTTTAAGACATATTTTAAGGACACATATAGATGATTTAAATATAATGTTTAATTAAAATGAGTAATCAATTATTATTTCCCAATTTTAAAATTTATTTTTATCCCATTATTCTTGTAATACATCAGTTAGTTCGTGTAAAATTGTTTGAATACAACGACGACATCTATGATTTTTTGCTAAGTAATTATAATTTTATAAATATCCTATATACATACAAAGGCAATGTTTTCCATAAGTGCAGATGTTACATATTTTGTAGCACATAATATTTTATTAATAATTATACCGGTCATTGTCACTTTTTTTAATTTGGCAATATGTCTTGTAAACAAATTATATATATTTTCGACTGCTTAAATATCGAATGAACATAATCCGGTTTATAAACTAGTTTATTTAAAATAAATCTTCCAGTCGTAGGTTAAAAAAAATGATTAAAATGTAATTAAACATTTAAATATTATAGTCTACCTTGTGGTAATGTAATATTCACATAAATAATACCGATGCAATATAGGGCTTCTTCATAAAAAAAAAAAAAAAAAAATACGAATGTAGGTTTTTGCTGAGAAAGCCTGGATTAAAGGGGGACAGAGGGGCCATGACCCCGGGCCCATAACGGATATCAAGCAATAACGGGCCCCTGGTTGATAATACGTTTTTTTTTTTAAAATTTAATTTTTCTTAAGTTCGAAAAAAATAAAACAAATATGGTCGTGCGTAATTTGTCAAATTTTTTAAATTAATATTTTCCTTTGGTTTAGCATTAAATATTTCTAAATAAGTAAAAAATTTCTTCAGTGACGTCGATGTTTGTTTTATAAGATATTAGTGTAAAAATAATATCTAAATATAATTGCCATAAAGGACGAGTAAATTGAGTTATAACAGTATTTTACACAAAATCCAAATGTCTATAACTTGTACATCCAGTACCGGTGTACACCTGTTCACCACGGAATCATCCACCTCAATTAGACACTGGATTTGCAATACGTAGGGATCGGTACCGCTGAGTTTCTCCGAGATGGAATTATCGTAACTCGTAAATAGAGTTCACACGTTCGTCAATTTTCAAATTAATATTTTTTATTTTTAATCGATAACATAAACAAATATTAAAAGCCGTAAAATAATAATGTACCAGCCAAACGCAGTTTAGAAAAAAAAATATTACTATTATTATTGTCATGAGTTACCGGTAGATAGTAGACAATTATAACAATAGTGCAACTGTCAGTTCGACCGTTAACCATTGTAAGATGTGCTATTGAATTTGAACGTTTCGCCTTACACCCGTAACATGTTTTCATTAGCTAAACTTTCGTACATCGTGTGCGACGAGGATGAGAAATTCTTTTACAACGATCTGCAAACGGTGCCCATCGAAGTGGAACAGTGTTGCACGGATGTATTGAGCTACATCAAGAACCGAACTGACGAGACGAGCCACGAGGCGTCAACTTTGCCCGATGGTAATTAAA